TATATATATATATATCATTTTATTTATTTGTGTAAATCCAATAATGGGATCCAAACGACGTGTTGGGCGGTATGAGCTTGGCCCCACCATTGGGTCTGGCAACTTCTCCAAAGTGAAGATTGGCCGCGATGTGGAGACGGGTGTAGAGTGGGCTGTCAAGATTGTAGACAAGGACCAACTGGTGCGGGAGAACATGCAGGAACAACTCCGCCGGGAGGTCGCGGTGATGAAAATGTTGCGTCAACCAAATGTCATTCAACTCCGCGAGGTGATGCAGACGACGTATCACATTTATCTCGTGTTGGAGTTGGTGCGGGGCGGCGAGTTGTTTGATCGCATTGCCGCCGCCAAGCGCTTTGATGAACCAACGGCCCGGCGTTACTTTCATCAACTCATTGCGGGTGTGAATTACTGCCACATGCAGGGCATTGCCCACCGCGATCTCAAGCCGGAGAATTTACTGTTGGATGAGAGCGACACGCTGAAGATCTCAGACTTCGGCCTCAGCAATTTGCACCGCGGGAATGTCGGCGGGCAGGGAACGATGCTGCAGACGGTCTGCGGCACCCCAAACTACGTGGCGCCGGAGGTGCTGAAGGAACGGGGATATGATGGCGTGTTGGCGGATGTGTGGAGTTGCGGCGTTATTTTATTTGTCATGCTCGCCGGTTATCTGCCCTTTGATGATGAGAATATAAATGGACTCTTTGCAAAGATTGAACGCGGGGAGTATCGTGTGCCGCGGCACTTCTCACCAGAGGCGCGGGATCTCATTGCGAAGATGCTCACAGTCGATCCCAGCAAACGAATCACTGTGAAGGATATCATTCAACACCCATGGTTTGTGGTGGATTGGGATCCCAACATGTTGAATACAGGCACTCGTCTGCAGGTCTCAGAGGAACTCATGGATGATGCTATTCAGCAGATCTAAGGGATGTGAAGAGAATTTTTTTAAATTATTATTATTATTATTATTATTATTATTATTATTATTATTGGCCCTATTGCTTTTTTTCTTTTTATTATTTATTTATTTATTGCCTTTTATTTTTATCTTCTCTTCGTCTCCACACAGAACCGTAAATGGTTGTAGACTCTTATTATTATTATTACTATTGATGGACCAGAGAGAGAGAGAGAGAGACAGTCATTCCTTAAGGAATATGAGGTATCGTTACGGATGTTGAGTGCCTTCCGTGTGAATGTGTGAATGTGTTTTGTTTTTCTATTCATCTCCTTTTATTATTTTGGACTTTCTTTCTCTCATTTCTGTGTGTTGTTGGTGTTGGTGAGCCTTTGCTTATGGAGAGTCCATGTAAGCAGAAGAAAAACCAAACATCAATCTCAGTAAAGAGAAAGAAAGAGAAGAAGAAGAGAGGGGAAACATCGTGAGTGAGTTCAATGGATGAACTGGTACTTATGAATATATATATATATATATATATATATATGTATTCGATGCGATGGATATGAAATACAGGGAAGGAAGCACGAAGAAAGAGAGGGAAAATAAGAGAAATAAATACAAATAATATGCGCAAAAAGGAATCTCAAGAAAGCAGTTTAAAAAAAAAAAAAGAAAAAGATGAGCAATTTGAAAGAAAAGAAGAGTGAAGAATATATATATATATTTATATAGAAAGAGAGAGAGAAGGAATTATTCGTATTACCGGAAAGGGTGGAATGATGACATTAACAGCAAGTACGATGAATATTATTCTGCGTTTATTAATAAACGTATGAAAAAAACAAACAAACGAGTTGAGCACTATGACCCAGCGTTCGTTTGTACAGCAATAAGTGTGTCTTATTATTATTATTATTATTATTATTATTATTATTATTATTATTATTATTATTATTATTATTATTATTACTATTATGTGTACATAGCCTGCAAGATATTGAAAGAAGTGGTGTAAAGAACAAGAGAGAGGGAGTAAGAAAGAGAGAGAATTGAGAAGAAATAGAAGAAAAGACTGTGTTAACAGCATATGGAGGATAATACACATACACACGAATAAACAAACAAACAAACAGACAGACAGAGAAGCATATTGTGTATAGTGGGGGGAGGATCTAAAGAAGAAAGGGAAATG